GGGGCTTCCAAGGCAAGTGAGAAGCAAAGATGGCTTACCATTGCAGAGCCTTCCTTGGTAGTCTCCCATCCAAGTCCTACCTTGCTTAGCTTCCAAGAATGGCATACGCCATACCCTTCCATATCCCAGTACCTTTTCTTTAAATGGTGAAGGTTCCCTTGCTCGAAAGCCAGTCGAATCCGACTCTAGGGTTGCGGTGCTCATCTCCGTTTCAAAGGCGAAGAGCCAGCGCTGTCCGAAGACGTTTCCGTGGTCATGTGGCCGGCATGACTAAACACCAAGGTGCACATAATGCTGTTACCTTCCCACCGAAGTGGTACCTATTTATCTACTTGCAATTTCTTGCTTTCGAACTGCTAGGTTGGCAGGAGCTGGAACTAGAGATGGGAGCTCACTCCGTCATGCGGCACCCGGGTCTCGAACTGCTGAACTACTGACCTTCCACAGCCTGCAGTTCAGCGTCTTAATCACTTGAGCCACCGCAGCTTAGGACCAACCAAATGACATAACAATTGTGTGAGTTTTTGAGAAGGTGAAAGGGAGGGGCCACGGCTTAGTGGTAGAGGATCTATTTGGCATGCAGAAGGTCCCAGGTTCAATCCCCAGTTAAATGATTTGGCAGTAGGTGATGTGAGACCCTGGAGAGCCACTGCCAGTAGACAATATTGATTTTGATGGACCAAGGGTCCGATTCAGTATAAGGCAGCTTCATGCATTCATGTGAAAGTTCAGTCACCAATACATGTCATCGGGTTGGTAAAAAGGTTAGTACTTGGTCATGGTAAGTAGTAGGATGGGAAACCACTATGGCAGATCCGGGTTGCTATGCAGAGGAAGGCAGTGACAAACCACCTCTGCTCATATCTTGCCCTGAAAGCCCCATGAGGGGTCACCATAAGTCAACAGAGACTTGACAACACTTAATTAAGAGAAATGATTGAAATGATTATCCTGCTGTCCTCATTCCCCACTCCCCAATACTTCTTTATGTATCCCAATCAGAGAAGACAAAAGAAACCAGAAAAATCCTTTTTAAAAGGTTTATTTCATTTGTTCACAGAACATACAGAGTTCAGATGGTCCATCTGTAACAGTGTGTTGTCATGCGAGGTGCAGTTCACAAAATAAATTAACTGTGTCTGTTTTCAGAAATGGTTCTTTGGATACAGTCATTGCTCTTAAGACAGAGCATGCTTACATGGTAAGCAAACACAAAGCAAGGAACGGTGCTGGCTGCCACCCAGCACAGAAGATGTTTAGCATGGCAGTCTTAGATTTAAAAACAAAGAAACAGTTTGAATGGCGCCTTGAAATATCTTTAGCGCCTACTTTTTTAAAAAGTATCAAGGAGCCCATTAACTTATTTCCCCCTCCCTTTGCTCGCTAGAAGACCGATCTTCGGCAGCGAAAAAGGGGGCGCAACGCCTCCCCGCTGCGTATGTAGTGTCGGTTTGAGCTTGACGTCAGTCCCGGTGGCTTCTGAGCGAGCCAATCCCGGAAAGAGTAGGCTAGCCCGGATTCCAGGCGGCATTAACTCGTTCGTGACCCCAGCCCTGCACAGAAAAGGGGTCCTTCTTCCTCCAAAGCCAAAGTCCTGACCTGGCCTAGAAAGCTCTTCAGAAAGCAGCCCGGCCCTGCAAGAGAAGGAGGGTGATGTCTATGATGGTGGAAGTGGAAGACTCGTTTCCCCAGGGCCGACCGGTCGCATTGGCCGCCGCCTGCGTTTCCAGAGAGCGCGCCGTGGTGCCGGGCTGCTCCAGGAGGAAGGGTTCACAACGGGATTCCCTCGCCTTTGCCGCCGAGTGGGCGAAGAGACGTCCCTCGGCACCCGAGGAGGCTACTGCAATTGTGAGATCCTCCTCGGCGCTGTAGATCTGGAAGAAGACGATCGCCAGAAGGATGACGAGGAGGCGTTTGGCAAAGCTGCGCTCCTCCGTGGGGTAGTAGCGCCTCACCTATGAAGAGAAGGAGGACGAGGTGATTAGAGACGGGGGTGGGGAGTAAAGCACCCCTGTACCCTTTTTCTTAAAGCCTTCCATTGAGCCTGTTTCCCAGCTTTCTCGTTGGCTAATGCCAAGCTGCCCCCTAGAAACCCACAGATACAATTCCCAGAGTCACGCAGTGCTCTATTTGCCCCCAAGCCCAGACGTCTATCCAGACACCACACATTCCTCAAAATACACAGCCTTATTCTTTCTGCCTTCACCTACACCTCTAACTAGATCCCCACCCTGCTGCTAGCCAAGTTAACCCAGATGGTAGTTAAAGTTGCCAGCTTCCAGGAAAGGCCTGGAGATCTCCCGGAACAACTAATTTTCAGACTACAGAGATCAGTTCCCTTGGAGAAAATGGCTGCCGGGGGGGGGGGGGCGGCGGACACATTCTATGGTATTATACCCAGCTGAGGGCCTTCCCCTCTCCAGACCCCACTCTCCCCAGGCTCCAACCCCAAACCTCTAGGAATTTCCCAACTCACAGTTGGCAACTCTAACTGTAGCACAGGGAAACCAAACCACAGCTGACTGCACCAGGTTGTTTCTGGGGCGTCATATCAGAGATCCCTTGGTACCCAGAGCATGGAGAAGAGAGGGAACTAGGGCATGGGTCACTTCCTCTCTTCAGAATCATGTGAGGAGAGGAGTGACGTGCTGGGACAGGTAAGGATGGGTGACTAATAGCGAGCGAATTTTGCACCCATGCCTGACTCATAGTATGCCACCTTCTTCTTCTTTCTTTTTGACAAGGCTCCTTTGCCCCAAAGGTAGCCTGTCTATAGAAATTAAGCAGGTAAGGCTTCCCCCTGCCTTGGTGATGCAGCAGTGGAGGAAGTTGCTGAGTTTTGGTCAGCCATTCAACACAGGCTTTGCCGGTGCGGTGGGTGGGTGGGGAGAGGAAGTAATTCTACGTGCATGAAGAAGGTGATATTTACTATCTAGCTTCCCTCATTCACTGGCACTGTCCATCGTGAAGAGCCCAGAGTCTTAAAGATCCTGAAGACAAATCCCTTTTCTGAGAGAACTCCAGAATCCTGAACTGTAGACCTTACTCCACTCTTAGTCCCACAATTACCCTGCTGCCCCCTCTCAGCTGCACCCCACTTCTTTGCCAGTGGACCTAGGAGTCCGGCTGATAGTACCCTCCGTTCCACCCCAAGAGATCCTGTCCCCTTTTCTCTACAGGGGTCCAAACTTGCTAACTTACCACTGGGGGATAGAGAACTCTCCGGGATCTCTTCTTGATCCTGGTGGTCCTCGAGGACTTCTTGTAGGCTGGACTCATCTCGACCTCTGGGAGTGGGTCGAAAGTGAAGTACTGGGGCCCTGTGGGCTGAGCCCGATGTGGGACCTTGGGCATCTTTAGCGCAGGTAGCCTGGGCTCACATGCACAGCACATAGTTGTCGTGCCGTACAGGGAACTCATCTAACGGAGAACGCAAGCAAGAGAGATCAGCTGGTTTGCTTAGCAGTGTAATAAGCAAGAGAGAGAGAGAGCAGCTGGTTTGCTTAGCAGTGTAATAAGCGAGGATGAGAAGGTGCTTGCCAGCAAAGGCTTTATGAGCAGGAGCAGTGACACTCCCCTTGCGGTACGATTGGCTAGGGAGACAGAAGAGAATGCCTGTGATTGGGTGATTGAATGACAGCTCATTGTGGAAAATCCAAACTTCTGTGTTCAGTCAGTGTTGGCGGCCCGCCCGGTTGAATGGGGAATTGTCACGCAATGCAGGGAGAGAGTGAGAAAGGAAGAGGGAGGGTTGTGTAAGCACAAACAGTGAGAGTGGGGGAAGGGCATGCCCTGCAGAAAATAAACACACACACACACACACACATTCAACTGCTTCCTTATCTATCAGAGACGGAGGGGCGTAAAGCTCCTGGCCTATGATATAACTCCAGAAATGTCAGTGGCTTTTATAAAGGCATGCAACTGAAACCACAGATAGAGAGCAGCTGCCGGGCATTCTCTGACACAGTAGAATAATAGAGCTGGTAAGGATCTCCAGGGTCATCTTGTCCAACCCCCTCACAATGCAGGAAATTCACAAATACCCCCCCCCCAGTGACCAATGCTCCATGCCTTAATGGAGATCATATGAAACACACACACCCCCAGCAGCAGTCTACAAACGGGAAGGAGAAATGGCTATTTAGGATTTTAGGCAACCCCTTTTCCCTACTTGCAATGGCTTTTGACATCCAGTGAAGGAGCACTGTTTTCTACTGCTACTAGTCAGCCCTGAGGATAAAATCCCAGATCCTAGACACACACACCCCCAATAGTTTTTTTTAGGTCTTTTGCTCTCAAGTCACAGCCAACTTGTGGTGACCCCATAAAGTTTTCAACGCAAGAGACATTCAGAGGGGGTTTGCCATTGCCTACCTCTGCGTAGTGACCTTGATATTCCTTAGTAGTCTCCCATGCAAGTGCTAACCAGGGCCAACCCTGCTTAGCTTCCAAGATCTGACGAGATCAGGCAAGACTGGTCAGGGCGCCCCCAATAGCGGCAGCTATCAAACAGAAATCAAACCTGACAGTAAGGACTTGGCTGGTGACCATCACACACAAGGGCCTCGTTAAAGGTTAAGAGCCCCTGCTCTGATGTGTACAGCAAATGCACAGAAATACTTTGGGATTAAAATGCTGCATCCAAAAGATTGAGTTGGTTACTTTTATATCAAAAGGGGAAATTCACCTCCTCCTCTGCACTTGTCTTCAAATAGCAGTCACCTGCTCCTTTCCTTCAGTCCTGTGTGAAGCTTCCATGATATGAATGCATGAAGCTGCCTTATACTTGGTCTACTAAGATCAACTCTCGTGTGACCGGGACCTAAGATCAGTATTGTTCACTCTGACTGGCAGCAGCTCTCTCTCCAGACTTTCAGGCTGAGGTCTTTTGTATCGCCTGCTATTTGATTATTTTGGCTGGGGATAGCGGGAGTTGAACCCGGGACCTTCTGCATGCTAATAAGATGCTATGTCCCTGAGCCATGGCCCTCTCTTTTCCTTCCCTGTCTCTGGCTGCCCTGTTACCCAGACTATCCTGCAGCACACAGCTGTTCCTGTCTTGATGCCCCGTGTCGTGTGAGGTATTTTTACCCCACAATCTTCTCATTTCTTTAGCCCCTGGCCTCCCTGCCTTCCTTCCAAAATACAAACAAAAGCAATGGACTCTTAGCAGTGAAAGCAGTTCATTTACTGGGGAACCCACAAAAGCCCCAATAAATGCATTTAATCATATACAAGACTAGATTTCCTCTCAAAGGATACTATAAAAGGGGGAGTACCTTACATTTCCATACATACCAGTTGCTTGTGGGCCGGGTAAGAGCCCTGGACGGGCTGGTTCCGGCCCCCCAGGCCTTATGTTTGACACCCCTGTTTTAGATAGGTTAGTGATGGGCTCAGTCAGTATCCCCCCACTGATTTGAACTTTTCTGGCTTTCCAGTATCTGCAATACTTCTGTGTGGGTATCCCAAAGGAAGCTATGCAGGGGTCATTTTGTGGAAAAAGAGGTGCAGGAGCTCATTAGCATAACTCATTAGCATACCTTATTTGCATATGCCACACACCCTGACATCACCAGAAGTGTGTCAGAAGGCAACACCCACTGCTCAGGCTCCCCTGGACTCTTTTGGATTGTTAGCTATTGGAGGGGGGGGAAACGTGCAGATCTGTCCTCGCAGAGGAGGGAGAGCTTGTACCTGAATAAAACTTGGTCTTAAAGGTGCCGTTTTGGGCCAGGGGGCTCTGCAGCTTACCTGGCTGCTTCTTGCTCTGACTGAGGAGCAGGGGGTGGGGCTTGTTGCATGTGCCCGCCCCCTGACTTTTCTGGCTTTCCAGTATCTGCAATACTTCTGCATGGGTATCCCAAAACAGGAAGCTATGTAATACCACTTCTTAAGAGCAACCAAAAGAATGTGCAAGCTTGCAGGTTCTCCAGAGCACCAGCAGACTAGATGTTTAAAAACACCCCCAGAAAGGGGGTGGGTGGGGGGAAGTTAGTTTCAGGCTATGAGCTTGAGGCCTTTTATCAGCATCCGGTGTTGAATGCCAAGCAGGTTTGCCGAGTCAAGTGCCAGGTGGAGCCAGTTTCAGGCTGCACATTTACAGTGCAACCCTAAACAGAGTTAACTTAACACCCTTCAAAGTCCACTGAAGTCAATAAGCTTAGAAGGGTGTGACTTTGCTTAGTATGGCACTTAGTATTTATCTATCATATGGCAGAGTTGCACACGGGAAGCATATAATAATAATATATATATGTATATGGCACTGTTAATCTTGTAGGAAGCAGATGCAAAGCATTGGGTGTGTCTCTGAAAGCAAAGGGTACACCCAGGTGAGCTGGTTTTTATATATGCAACTGGATGCTCACCCTTGCGTGCCCAGGGTAGCCTGATTTCATCAGCTCTTGGAAGCTAAGCAGGGTCAGCCCTGGTTAGTATTTGGATGGGAGACCACCAAGGAAGTCCAGGGTTGCTAAGCCGAGGCGAGCAATGGCAAACCTCCTCTGTTCGTCGGCTACAGCTTGGTGGCACTTTTCACCCCTCTGTGAAATGCTGAGTATGGACCAAATTATTGCATTGGGGTCCTGGAGCCATTCTCTGGAAAGATGCTGATTTTCAAGACTGTGGAACAGCCTGGTTTGGGGGGACACCAGCTTTGTCTGTTTTGCTCTTATGGATATAATTCACTCCACTCCTTTTTTTAAAAAAGGAGAGCCTTAGTGATGAAGAAAGGGCAGGAGGTTGATTGTAAAAAGAGGCAGGTGAGAATGGTCTGTGGCAACTGCATGAAAGACTGGTTCTGAAGAAGTGTAGCACGAACACCACAGGATGCGGTGGGCACTGTGTTTCTTCCTCGTGTGAATGGCAGCAGCACGTTACATAAAAAAACGCTGATACAATCAACGCCAAAGAGTGACAGGGCCTAATTACACATTATGTTTTCCTTTCCATTATGACACTCTAGGAATTAGTCGATCTGTATGGCTTTTTATCATGGAGATTGGCAAATTCCTAGAGTGTTGTGATGTTGCATCCGGGTACAAACTGGAAGTGAAGTCACAACATTGCACACCATTGTTTCCCACCCCCAAAATGATTCTCCTGGTTGCTGGCAGCCCTGTCAGTCTCTCTCTGTCTCTCTCTCTCTGCATGTGTGTGTGTAGCTGCTCCACAGACCTTTCCTGTGTCTTTGTCGTAATGTTGATGTAAATGCTTTATTTTAAAACAGTCTTTTG